CGTTAACATACATCAATGAATACCTACGCAAGCATCTGGAGCAGCGAAATATTCAGCCACAATCCGACAAACAAAACGTGCAACTAGCAGAGCAAATGTGCGTCGCAAGTACGCGTTCGTATCCCGTCAAAATTGAATATAACGGCCGAGCAACAAGCTCACTGGTTGTCGTCATCCCCAATCTGGCCGAAAGAATGATATTGGGAATGGACTTTTTGGCGCAACCAGGCATTGTCGTGACACTTGATAACCAGCCCCTAGCTCCCGCCCCACCGCCGAGAGCCGATGCTACGGCTGTTCTGTGCTGCTTAACCGAAAGGACGCACCTGAAAGAGAAGCAAAGCAAAATACTGGCCGATTTCTTGGAAATCCACAAAGCGCGATTTTCCAAAAGTACCGGGCCAAGCACCACCGCCGAACGCGAGATCACACTCCGGCATCATCGACCACTACAACAACGCCATTACCCACGCAATCCTGCCATGCAGCAGATGATACCGAGACAGCCACATCTATCCGTAAACTCCGTTGGTGACAACCAATCCCACCGGACGAACCACGGCCGATTTCACCATGGCAACCGCCATTTGAGGCCGTGCTATGACCACCAAACAAACCGCGGATCCTTAGCGCTAAAATATTTCACGGCCCACCGCCCGCCCACGTTGTGCCCAAGCCACACGCCCAGCTGTTCGCCAAACCGCACCACACAGCCGAGGCAGCGACAACAGCCGCCAACACCACCAATCAAGCAGCAGCAACCACCAACTCATCCCGGGAGACCGCCGCCGAACCAAGGGTCACCTAACCATCACCGGATGCGGGCCCGGCTACAGAGAATGAGGAGCCGGACACCAGGGACACAGCTGATCTCTCCAAAAAAAAATCTGCGGTTGAGACGATCCAAAATACCCGAGAGCGATGGCGATTCCAATGGAAGATGCACCGCATGCGCCATACAAATAGACGCGAGCCACGCCATCGTCCGTTCCGGGGAAAGAACCAAGGTCATCGAATTCACGGATTAGACAAACAACACCTCTTTTCTTCAAGGAGAAATTTGGAAATTTATTTTTGAAATCAATTAAGCTTAAGATAACTTGAATAATACACAAAAAAAAAACCAAAAAAGTACATGTTCATTATATAACATTTTTCCAATCATTGTAGAAGTAAATTTGCATTTCACTACCTAGTTGTAGTTATATCAAAACTTACGAACTCATTTTCGAAATATTTTAAGAAATAAGAAAACTTGTATTTGTATAACACACAAAAAAAAAAAATTGCATAAACAAAATAAAATAAGATCCCCCCACACATACCGACCGAGCCAGTGTACAGTGTTCTCTGGTGAAGAATACCACAACTTGTCGTCCGCCGAAGTGGGAGGGGAACTGTAACGTAGGTTTGCCTACGCTACAATAACATATTCAATATCACCCTAGCATGTGCCTTACAACTGCATATAGGTACAAATATAAAAACATATACATACATACTCCTATGTACATACATACGTATACACGAAGGTGGCCTGGCAAGCGCGTACAAATTTCGTAAACACCAACTCAGACAACCATGGGCACTAACATATGGAAGAAATTCGTTACGCAAAACAAAATGCGGAATAAGCCCACTCACTTCTCAAACAGCTCATACAAAGCCGGAGTTAAAGCTGCCAACATGAACTCAACCAGCATCAGTTGTCCGTAGGTAAGCACGGAGCGTATCCGGGGCTTCGGGCCTATTTGGTGCGCTCTTGGCTTTCCTCCTCGGAGGAAGACTGACTGGTTGAAGGAGGCTAGACCCATTTTTGGACACGGTCTCAAGCAGACAGGGGGCGTGACCCGTTTGGGCTTGCTCAATTCCGAGCACCCCTGCCTGCTTACGATACCGCGCGGCTAGCGGGCGTTGATGGGGGCCAACCACCCCCTGCAACGCCTAGTGGCCACGAATACATACGGGGGGACTGGGCAATCTTTCGATGCCCTGGGGGACTGCACTAATGATCAGTTGTCCGTAGGTCACCAATCTGGACCGCCAACACCGCTGCCACCCTAAGGCCGAGACATTACTGAGGACCGCTAATCGTACTCGCTGCCATTCAGGGCCGCCGCCACCATCATCATCACCGCTAGGGCCCGGACCGCTGCTCTTATCACCGGGGCCGCTACTACTACTGTCGCCACAAGGCCGACATTTCTGCCGAGGACCGCCCGCCGGCAACACAAAGAACCGCGATTTGTACTCACTGTCATCCAGGGCCGCCGCCACCATCATCATCACCGCTAGGGCCCGGACCGCTGCTCTTATCACCGGGGCCGCTACTACTACTGTCGCCACAAGGCCGACATTTCTGCCGAGGACCGCCCGCCGGCAACACAAAGAACCGCGATTTGTACTCACTGTCATCCAGGGCCGCCGCAATAATCGTCATCACCGCTAGGCCCCGTACCGCTGCTCTCATCAGCGCCGACATCCAGGGCCGCTGCCGCAGCCGCCACCATCAGGGCCGCTACTACTCGTCACGAGTACGGTAATCTCTACTGCGAACGTCAACCATCGTCGTCCAGGACCGCCGTCACCGTCGTAGTTAAAAAGGGCCGCATTCGCCCTTCGCCACAATCCGGACCGCGTACAACACCACTGCGGGAGGTCGTTGCCGCCCTCATCATTATATGGCCCACTGCCAACTTCACCGCTGAGGCCGCCACCACCACTGCAAGGGAACTGCAGGCTACCGTCACAACCACCGCGACTGCTTTTATTACCACGCTCTTCGCTACGACTGACGCGTACCATTGCCAATCTTGCTGCCACCGGCAGCGCTCCCGTCGCCGTACAAATACCCGCCGAATAATCACCGACTACCGACTCTCTTTTTTCATCTCCCTCTCTCCCCTGCACGACAATTTGCCGGTATTCTAGATATCCGCGGGTGTACGTGGGTGTGTTCGACTTAATACACAAATCATTGTGTTTTATTTGGTGGGGGTTAGTGAGACCTTCGCTGGACTCTGGAGCGGCTGACCATACCTCAGCCTTCGGCTAAATCCACCTCATAGCCGTTAAAGGTAAGCAGGAAAGCTGATCTGCTGGTTAAGCCTTGGTATGCATCGACTAATCAGATGAATGCAGAATCTTGGATTTTACCCAAGGAGAGCCAGAGTGCCTTCGTCAGATGAAAGGGCTACCCCGATGTGCAATTCATTGAATGCAACGCTTGCTGATCCAGAGTACTGGAAGGCGCAAGATGTGCATGTGTGCTGAGAGCAAATTTTGGGACTAGAAGCATTATTGGGGTTGTGAAAGGAGGTGCCAACGGCACAGCATTAATGGAGACAATGCGGGGTGTAATCATTTTTTGGCGAGTATGCTCAACGGCGTGATGCGCAGACAGGTAAGCTGATATCAATAGTTGAGTGCAAAGATTATACGGAGCTAGAAAGATTACACAGCTGCAAAACAACAACAAAAAAATTCTTCCTGTTACCAGACCAATATTTTTGTATGTTTTTTTGATCTCTGAATCAAAATCTGACGTCCTTTCAACCCCATCACGCCAAGGTTTTCCATAGCCTTTTATTGGTTTTTTTGGAAGTGGGGTGACAGAGTTGAAAAAACCTTAACGTGATGGATTTGAACGGACGTCGGCTTTTGATTCAGTGATCAAAAAAATATGTAAATATAATGGTCTGGTAACAGGAAGAATTTATTTATTTTTTTTTTTGTGGTGCTGTGTAATAAAGTTGCGGCAAATTTCATAATATAGTTTGATCTATAACAGGAACCACATAAATAAGACTTTCAAAACTTGCCCAAAGTTCACAAAAATTAGTCAAACTTTAAAAAATTATCAAAATTTCAAACTTTTTATTAAGAAGCTCTAGAATATATTCGAGTATGCAGTTTTGTAGCCCATTCAAATTTAGTACAACAAAGTGCAACTTTCAAGTCACTAGTCAGGGTGTTCAGCATTTTGCTCTTGCGTTATATAGAAGAATATATATATGAATTCTAAAAAATCAACGGTAATTTTTTAGTGACTTGAAACTTGCAATTTGTTTTACTAAATTTGAATGGCCTAAAAAACAATATAATTATGAGAAAATTTATTTAGTGTAAATAAAACGAGGTTATTTCACTTACGGCCCACCGTTTCGCTAATTTTCTTAGCATCTTCAGGGGCGCGTTTTTTTTTATTATCTGCTACAAAAATATATAAAAAAACATGTGTGATATTAAATAAAGAAAAAAATATACAGATATATACATAAATACATATAAAAATCACGATAGAACAAGTATTGATATATAATATTAAACACAAAAGTTATCAGTTAATTAACTACATCTGCTAACATCGATACAAACTACTGTGGTAGTTTTTTCTGAACTAAAAACTAAATATGAATTTTATAAACGTAACATGTAGGCGGAAGAAACGGCATCGGTGTCTTCTTTTTGTTTATTTATTTTCCCTTTTTTGCAAACGGGCTTTCTAATGTGTATCTGTTTTTTCCTCGTTTTTCTATGCCGATTATTTTGGTGTTTGCTAAATCTGCTGAGTGCCTAGCAGTTCGTATGTACTGTGAAAGCGCTGTACTGTTTTTTGTTTCTTTATATATGTATCGCCGCTATATATTATTATATTATGTATGTCGGCCGCTGTGGTGTAGTGGTAAGCAGTGCGCGCTTTCACTCATCAGCACCTGGGTTCAAGCCCTGGTCAAAGCAACATCGCAAAATGTATAGAAAAAGGTTTTTTCTTAACAGCGGTCGTCCCTCGGCAGGCAATGGCAAACCTCCGAGTGTATTTCTGCCATGAAAAACAGCTTCTCATAAAAATACAATCGCCGTTCGGAGTCGGCGTAAAACTGTAGGTCCCTCCGCTTTGTGTGACAACATCAAGGCGCACACCACAAGTCGGAGGAGAAGCTCGGCGTGTGCTAGAGCTGGGATACTATCGATAGTACCGCCACTCGATAGTTTAGAAAACGATAGTTGAAAACATCGATAGTATCGATAGTACTATCGTCGTGAGAGGTATTGAATTGGGGTGGGCTCTAGTATTCAGCCGCAAAGAAAATTGGCTCGCTTTCGAACGATTGGTACTCTGAAAGCACCCTTCGAGTAACATTGGTTCGATGTTCGAACTACATTCTGTTCCCTTCGAATTTTATTTATCCCCTTTCGAATTTTCGGAAATTTGGTACTCCCTGCATCGAAAGCAAATGTCAAAATGGTGGAATTGTAGAAAATTCTATTCGACAGCAACCAAGCACTCGGACGTCCGCAAAAATGTAAGTAATTGCAATAGTATTTGTGAAAATATGTATTCTTTTAATCAAAAAATAATTTTTAGGACAACGAAAATCAAACAACCAAATACCAAGCCTCGACAATTTGAAATATTGGTAAATTTCATGATGGAACACAGCGATTTGGCGAAAGGTCAAATTAAGGGTTTAGCTGCAAAGCAAACCTCTAATAATCTGTGGAAGAGGCTAGAAAATGAGCTTAATTCATGCGGACCTCCAACTCATAACTTCACTGAATGGAAAAAGGTAACAAATTTATTATGTTTTTGTAAACCATATTGTAAATAGTTATAATTTTTTTTTATGTAGATATGGGCAGATTATAAAAGCAATATTAAGGCGAAGTTACGAAGGAATAAGGAGAGCATGTCGGGAACAGGAGGTGGGCCATCGAGATTCTGTTCATTAACTGCAACGGAAGAACAAGTGGTTGCATATAGATGAATCTATAAATGGCGAGGCTGAAACAATGCGCTTTGGTGCTACTACCTTCGGCGATCCTGCATCATCTAGCCCACCTGATTGTATAAACTTAGAGCCTGAAGAATATCCAAGAAATGATGCGCTCACTACCTCTCGGCAAAGACAATTTGGTAAAACTGCAAGTGGAAAACTAATGCCAATATCACGAAAATTCGATGGACGAATTATGTGATAATTTAAATAGTTTAAGTAGATATTTTAAGAGGAATGTTGAGCTCAAAGAGTCTAAACTTCAACCAAAACGAGAAAAATTTGAATTAAAAAAAAAAATTAAAAAAAAGAAAAGTAAACTGAAGTTAAAAGCACTGAAACTAAAAGCTAAACTTTTTAAATAGTTGATTTAAGTGTAGTTATTTTTACGAATTCATATTTTATAAGTTTTTTGTTCCTTTGAAGACTGATGAATTGTTTTTTAAGTTATTTATTTTTTAAATAGCAGATTAAGGTACAGCAGTTGCTTGTTGTATTAATCAAAAATAATGAATATTTTTTGTTTTTATGATAATTTCAAATCCAAGCAATCAATGAATTAGTTGTATGTAATTGTTTGTTGAATTGTTACCTGCGAATGAAAAGGCTAATGAATATATTTTACATTTTTTTATATACCAATGAAACTAAACTATATTTTGTGTCTTAGGTTCCTAGAAATGTTTTACATATGTAGTTTTATAAAATGAAGACTCAAAAAGTACTTTTATTTTATTTATTTTTTATTGATATTTTTACAATATTCGCAATGTTTTTAATTCTGAAACTTTTTTAATACATTTTTTAAAAAAGTAAAGCTGATTATCTAACAGAAATCATATAAATCTAAGTTTTAAACTTGTGCCAAAATTAGGAAAATATCAACAAATTTTCATACAAATTGCCAAATTTTTGACTAGAATTTCCTGACAAAAATTTGGTCTGTTAAACTTAAATATAATGTGAAAGTTCGAAGTCCATAAAAAATTCCGTTGATTTTTGATCATTTTCTTCCATATAAAAAAAATATACTAATATACTAAAAATCAACGGAATTTTTTATGGACTTCGAACTTGCACATTATATTAAAATTTAACGGGCAAATTTTTTTCAAGGAATTCTAGTTAAAACTTGGCAATTTGTATGAAACTTTGTTGATATTTTCCTAATTTTTGCACAAGTTTCCAACTTAGATTTATATGATTTCTTTTAGATAATCAGCTATACTATTTTAAAATATTTACAAAAAAGTTTCAGAATTAAAAACATTGCGAATATTGTTAAAATATCACTTTATGATTTGAGTTTGAGCTACTGTGTATACACGCACTTGAATTTATAAAATATTTTGCTACACCTATGCAATTAAACTGTGTCTTATTTCATCTCTTAAGTTCCTAGAAATATTTGCTGTACTTCTGTCCGCTTCCACCATATTCACAGTTTCTAATAAATGTACATCTTCTGTGGAAAAAACTTCTGAATGTTGTAGCTCAGCTTTAAATTGCAGACAAATGTTGTGCAAAGCGCAGCAAACGTTCATTATAGCTGAAACCTTTTGCGGAGTATAATGCAGCTCCCGTGCTGCCAAAAGACATCGAAACCTTCCTTTCAATATTCCAAATACTCGTTCGATGATTGACCGTACTTTGGCATGGCAATGATTGAACCGGCCTTCCGCTGAATTTTCGGCGGCATTACGATAGGGAGTTAACATCCATGATTCCAATGGATATCCTGAGTAACCGTAAAAAATTTTAATGCTATTATTAATATACTATCGATATTAAAGTATTAATTGATGCTAACCAAGACTCCATATCCCTCTCTCGCCATTATCAAAACGAGCTTTTAAAGCCCTTCTCTCACTGGACAGGTTCCATACATGGGAATCATGGCATGCACCACCGTATCGCGCGTCAACAGCTCTAATTCTCATCTTGTGGTCACACATCTAAGAATTTTAATTTGAAAAATTGTTGTTGAAAACCTTCATGATAATGCAATACTTACAACCATTGCATTCATACTGTGCTTAGTTTTCTATTGTAGTACAAATGCTCATTCCTTGTTGGTCTTATCATTTGTATATGTGTGCCATCTATTGCAAGCAACACGCCCGGAATGCCACACTTTTCATAGAAATATAATTTCGCCCCTCTTTCCTCTGCGTCCGTACTAGCAAAATTAATGTGTTGTTGGCAAAGCGTTTTCTCAATGGCTTTGCACACTTCAATGAGGCAGCGTGACATTGACTGCTGAGAAAGGCTTACGTGTTGGTCTTGGCCAATTTGGTGTTGGTAACCTCCTTTCCCCAATAACTTCAGTGCAGCGGCCAGCTTAATAATGGGCGGAATTGCTGTGGATTTTCGAGGAGTCCTTAACTCCGGCGTAATGGCATTTAGTACGTACTGAAACGCCTCTTTGTTTAGATGGAAATTTTGCGCGAAGGGATAATTATAAATACATAAAATATAAATAGTCACAAATATAGCAATCCTTTTACCATTTATTATTGGGACTGAATATGTTGGCCTTATCCCTAAGCGCTGTTAATTGCACTCGTTCCGCCACTTGACCTTCATCTGCTTCCAACCATATCGCCACTGAATCCATTTGGTAATTTTTTTTATCAAGGACTTTCACTAATATTAAATATATTTAACACAACAGTTACTGAGTTCTTAAGTGCACAAACTTCACAATCGAAATGTTCGCAATTTCATCTTGTTTTGATTTTAGATTATTTCTTTGTTTTGCTTTGCGTTTGACATTTGGCGAACAGTGTTGCTCTCTTTTTTCGAATATTTTCGAAAGTTGACTCGATCGAACTATGGATTACGAATGGGGCTTCGATTCGAATTTGGCTTTCGAACAGAACAACCTTTCGACTCGAACTACAGAGTAAGGGCCCAGGTGGAATTAACAAATGAAACTTGGTCAGGATGTTAAGGGAGGTATCCTCTAAAACATGTATAACTAAAAAATATAAACAATATAATTGTTTATAAGTTATTTGCTGTTAAAATTTCTTAAGTTGTTCCACTTGATTCCCTTATCAAAGAGTGCATTTGTCACATACTTTCATATATATAAATGCACATAACACTACCTAATAGTTTACACACTTTTATTTTATTTTATCTTGCATATAAATCACTTTAATCAAACTTTTATTAACTTGTAATTACATTACATTGCACCCATATTTACAATAACACATGGTTGCAAACTGACACATAAGATGTGTTGCCATACCGTACAAAATAATACAATAGAAAGAATTCTACGTAGTGAAAACGCCTTCGCAGAAAGGTGTTTTCTGCAAATGGTGTTCAGCCCTCTTTTTTCGGCAATACGGAAAGGAGAATTCTACTTAGTGAGGGTTGTAATCTCTAAGTGCAGCCAAAAGCCGCCTACGCAGAGAGGTGTTCTTTGCAAAAGGTGTCCAGCCCCTCTTCTTCGGCCACACAGAAAGGAGAATTCTACTAAGTGAAAATTGCGAATTAAAAATCTGCTTTTATTATTCAAAATTCCAGTGTGGCAGTTTGATGTTATTTTGCTATCTTATTCACCGTTTATACGAAGACTTTACCAACAAATTATATAAAAGCAATTGGGTTGCCAGAAAAAAGGGGGATATTTTTGAAATCAAGTAGTCCTATTCTACCCCCCTTATCCACACTTTTTCTAGAATTTGCCATCCGCATACTAAAATTTTCCCTTGAATTGAAATGCTAAATTGCTTGAAAATTAAATAATAAATTTATAAAATTTATAAATTACTTTGTAAATTAAAGAGATTATATAAATTTGTTTAAATTTCGGTGCATCAAAAAGAACTTCTTATGATAATAAAATAAACTTATTAATTTATGCGTCTGAATTAATTTTTTATATGGAAAAATTAAATTCGGATTTTGTTTGTCCCTTTTGAAGTGCAAATAAGGGAAATTGGCTATAATAATACATTTTTAATACTACAAAACAAACAAAACAAAAGATATTCCTTTAAATTGACTACTCATACTTATAAAAGTTCAACTGAGATCAAATACGGAGGCGCATATCAAAATCCGTACAAAGGAAATTATTAACATTTTACCAAAATAATAGCACCAAAACATTTTTAGCAGTTTAGACTATTTTTTTGTTTGGTTAGAGTCTACTAATTTTTTATAAAACTTTTCCGCATCCCTCGTTCGCTTTTCCCCTACATTTAATTTCATAAACTACGTTGCTTTGTTGTTGAGCATCTGTTAGGCATTTTGTTTTTGTAAAAAAAACAGTCGATAATGTGCAATTAGATTTATATGCAAGTGTTATATTTTGTTGTTTCGCAAAGTCGCAGCCGAAGTTTTCGGTCAGCTTTGGAATGTATGTGACACTGTGGTATCGCTTTGTGTTGTTTATTGCATCTGTGCTTGAAGTTCTATTTTGGTGAATGTTCGTTTGCATCATTTTTTGTTTTATTAAGTTGTGTGTTAAATGTTCAGAATAGTGGTTGCTTTTTAGGATCTTCTTTATTTTTTCAATGTTCGCTTCATGGAATTGTTTGTGGCTTATTGTTAGTATTTTGTATATGAGGTTTTTCGCGGTATTTATTTTGTATTTGGTTGGTTGCGAAGAGAATAAGTTAATCAGGCGACCAGAAGATGTAGCTTAGGCAGTCTACACACGGTTCGTATAGCTTTAGACGCGTATAAAAATTTTTATGCACAAATGATTCCTCTACGCCTCAATATCTGCACACGAAGCAACTTCAAGGCGTCAAAGTATCAGGCAAAAAATGTTTAGTGATTTATTATTTCTTTAAATAATTTTCAGGATGCCCCACAATTTTACCAGAGAGTGAGGCGACTTACGGAAGGTTTCAAGACCGGGGCGTACTCCTGTAAGAACAATAATGGCGACCTAGTAACTGATGTCCAGAGCGTACTTAAATTATGGAGGGAACACTTTTCCGCCCTACTGAATGGTTGCAGCACGGAAAGTTGTGGAGAAGAAGAACCCGAGCCCGCAGTCGATGATGACGGAGTCGACGTTCCACCGCCTGACTATGACGAGGTACGTATAGCAATAACGCGGCTGAAAAACAACAAAGCCGCTGGAGCTGACAGCCTGCCAGCTGAGCTATTCAAGTACGGCGGCGAGGAGTTGATAAGGTGCATGCATCAACTCTTGTGCAGAATATGGTCAGATGAACGCATGCCCGACGACTGG